GATCAGACAAAAAATATTTTTCACCATCAATGAAATCGTTTGTTTATTCTTTTCAAACAAATGTCCGTACGCATGCAAGCTTAAATTCTGCTATGCAAACTTTTGGGAAATATTCTGGATTAAATCCACATTCAAAGAAACCCAAATTAATGGGCACTAAGCAAATAGGAGTTCAACCTACAACTAGAGCTAGACGCAAAACGGAATTAGGTGGTAGAAGGAATTTGACAGCAGGAAGAACTCCGAAATGGAGACGAGTACCAGAACACGGTTACACAAATAAAATAAGTTCAAGTACACTACCTCAAAAGAAACATAAAACTCCATATTCTTTAGCACGCTGCATAGAAATAAATAAAGCATTAGGCTCAACACATAGCTCAAAGTAATAATAATAAAACAGCTAGTCAACATTTGTAATATTGTTCTGATTAGGTACCTAGGTTTTTAAGTTTATTTATTTAATTAATAGTTCGACATCTGAATATTATGTAATAGATATTTTAGTAAAGTAAAGAGTAGGTACTTAATTGTTAACACACTTACACACTTATTACACATATTTTTATTTTTATTTTATTGAGTATTAATGGAGTAGCCAGTAGGTACTTATTAATATTTTTACAGTATTTATAATATAGAATTTACTGTAGTCTGTAGGTTAAAGGCAACAAAATAAATGTTTTAACATAGAAAAAAAAATTAATAATATAATAAGTAGTAATCATAGATAAGTATAACATAATAATAATATTAATAATATTATTAAATAAGGACCGAAATTAAGTAGGATATTTTAAACTAAGTTTAGTAGGCCGGTATTCTCTAACTGACATCAGCTGATGTTCTGTTGATAATTGATCAGTACACATTATTTTTAAACATTTTTTACAATATTTTAAGATATTACGATTTAATTTTTTTATTATGAAGCCTGATATATAGGTATGTGTCAATTGCCTTAAATATTCGGTATTATCACTGAGAATTGGTAGAGAAGGTCTGGGTAAATCAGTAGTTAAAGTTTGTTGGGTATAATTTATGTCATGTTGAGAACAAAATAAATTTTTATAATTTGTCAAAGTACCCTCAGTAAGATCTTCCTCACAGTTAGCTCCAGGTGAATGAGATGATACCAAATTGTTGAGCATTAACGTTTTATAGGATTGAATGAATGATGCACAAGTGGAATTAGTACAACCAAGACTTTTGACTGCTCCAAAAAATTTTTACCTTTAATTGGAAACCTTTAAAAAATTATTATTAGTAGGTTGCTGACTAACTGTACTATATTAATTACCTCTAATAGTGGGCATCCAGTTTCTTAATGTTGGAACACTAACAGTTTTCATATTTTTTTCCACAAACTTCATTGTCGATAGAATTGCCAGACTTTTTTCCCATAGTTGATGGTGAACAGAATTTGTCTTAACTGCAGTTCAATACATTTTTCCGTCAACTACTTTATCAAAAGAACCGTTCATTGAATCAAACAACTTATCAACAAATAATAGAAGTGTTGCAGTATCAACAGCATCAGAATCAATAATATTTTGAGCTATAAATAAAAATACCATAAATGTACACAACAGTTATTATTTAATTGTAATAAATATTACTCACTAGCAAGAAAATTCATAACTGCTGACACATGATGACTGAATATCTTTGTGGCACATTTCACCATCATTTTAGACATTTTTTCAGGAATAACATGTTTATCTGACAAACGAGGTTTTGAATAAGGAATAGCACTGTCCGCATTGTACAACCGTACAATGTGCTCCCACTTGACTGTTCTTTGTACACCATCAATTTTAAACTGAAGGTCTTTAGTTTTTTAGACAAATTATAAAAACGTTGAAAATTTGAAATATAGTTTCAAGGAACGATAGTTATAAGCGCATGCGCAGTATAATATAATAATAATATAATCTTTTATCATATTATCAAATATCAATTATCATAAAATATTCATAATCCTACAATCCTACACATGCGCAACGCGTATACACCATACATGACTTGAATTAAATCACACGTGAAGTCCACACGCATGCGCAGTTCAATGGTTAAATGATCAGGCGTAGCATGTTTTCAAATCTCGCCGCCGGGCAGTTTAGTTAGGGGCTTGCATTAAAATCATTATTATGGCTCGAAGAGCATATGTATATCAAAAGAATATATTGTAAAATGCTATCAGACTATTCTATGTTATATTACGTGAGAATAAAAACACATAATTACATATAATCAAAATCTATTGTGTTTTTGCATTCTTACAATTTACATCTCAAATGCATCAACTTGATTCACTTCTCTATCAAAAAATCAGAGCATTTATACTCTCCCAAAAAATGATGAAGGGTAGAAAAAACACATATCATTGTAATTGTATTTTAACAATTATTGATATGTACCTTAAACATAAAAAAATTGTTGTAATAAATTGATAAATTAACAAAAAATATAATAAAAGAGTAAACATAATGTTAACCCATTAACATAGAAATTAAATCAATCACATTTTTTTTAAGAATTACCTTCATATGCAAACCCTACTTATTAACCATCAATTGTATTGTTTATACTAATACATATTACTTATGTACCTATGTTTTAACCTGATATATATTTTTCTGACATGGTGTGATTTAAAAACAAATACAAAAGGGAAAGCTGGCATTATAAGGAAAGAACAAAATAAGACAGGTGGTGGTGAGGTTGATTATAGTGAGCTTAATGAGCTAGAGAAAAAAATATTTGATGTGTTGGGTCCTACTGTCGTGGAAGGACATAATTCAGTTTCTGAAATTCCAGTTAATTCTTCTTCTTCTTCTTCTTCTTTTTCTTCTTTATATGGCACTAATACTCTTTAAGAGTTTTCACCACCATCACTAAATCCCTCCATTTGTCTCTATCCTGGGCTAACGCTTTCCAATCTTGGACTCCCATTCTGTACAGGTCCTCTTCCACTCCATCTAACCATCTTTTCCTTGGTCGTCCTCGAGGTCTTTTTCCCGTAGGCTTCCATTCCAGGATTACTCTATTTATATCATCTTCGCTACGCCACCACATGTGGCCCAGCCATTGAATCATTTGTCCCTTCATAAAGCTTCCTGCAGCTCTTTATTATATTTTCTGCTCCATGTTCCTTTTTCATTATCATACACTGGTCCACATATTACCCTCCATATTTTGTTCTCAAAAGTTCTTAGTTTTCTTTCGGTCTTGCTTGTGGTAGTCCATGCCTCGCACCCATATGTGAGTGTGGGTCTTATTATTGCTGTGTACAGTCTTGCTTTCGTTTTTTTGGAGAATACTTTTGACTTTAAGAACTTATTCAGAGCGAAAGCTGCTCTTTCTGCTTTTATTATCCTTACACCTATTTCCCTAGCCCAATCATTGTTTTTACTCAATACTGCACCTAGGTACCGAAATTCACTAACCTTTTCGAAAACTAGGGATCCCGTATCAGTGTTGTCCTTCTCCTCACCTAGTAGTTCCATTATTTTTGTTTTATCCATATTCATTTTTAGACTTATTTTACTGGCTGCTCGTTCGAGCACTTGCGCTGCTCTTTCCGTTTCTACTAAGGAGTTTTCTAAGATATTTAGATCATCGGCAAAGCCAAGTACTTGTATGCGCTGTTGGCCTATCGTAATCCCCGTTGTTTCTATTTGCATCCCCCTTATAGCTTTCTCCAAGGCTAAATTGAATAAGGTGGGTGAGAGCGAGTCTCCTTGTTTTAATCCTGTACTGACTTCGAAAGGTTCAGACATTGTTTGTTCAACTCTTACTCTGTACTGCGTGTCTTCCATGCACACTTTTGTCAAAGCTACAAGTTTCTTTGGGATTCCGAACTCTTCCATTATATTATAAAGGCTTTCTCTATGTACACTGTGGTAGGCCATTTTAAAATCAACAAAAAGTTGCCAGATGTTTTGGCGGTACTCGTATTTTTTTTCTATTAGCTGACCTATAACTGACAGCTGTTCAATCGTTGATCTTCCCTTTCGGAATCCACACTGATATCTTCCTAGATTTTCTTCAACGTAAGGTGTTAGCCTGTTTAATAGAATCTTCGCAAATACTTTGTAGGCTGAGTTCAGAAGGGATATTCCTCTATAGTTTTCGCACTTTGTTTTATCGCCTTTTTTATGTAAAGGTATGATTACAGCTTCATTCCAAGTTGTTGGCAAATGTTCGTCTTTCCATATCTTCTGACATATTCTAAACATGAAATAATGCATTTCTTTTCCACCGTACTTGATGAGCTCACCTGGTATTCCATCAGATCCTGGCGATTTCCAATTCTTGAGGTTAACTATTGCTTTGTATGTTTCTTCTTCGGTCAATTCATTTATCATTGGTTCAGCTCCATAATGTGTTTCCCTTTTCGTAATATTGTCTGGGCTATCTGCATTTAATAGTTAAAAAAAAATATTCTTTCCATCTAGCCGCTTTTTCTTTAGGATCCATGATTACATCATTATTACGATTTCTGATGATTTTCATTCTTGGGTTGAAAGACTTGTACTGTTTTATCGTCCTGAAAAAGTGTCTGGCCTTACCCTGAGAGTGATTTTTCTCCGCTTCTTTTAATATCTCATTGAGATACTTCCTCTTCTCTCTCTGAATGATTCGTTTACAGTTTTTCCTCTCTAAAGTATAAAGCTCTCTTGTCATTATATTGTCTATACTGTCTACACTGATGAATTTTTCTCGGGCTCCGTCGTCTCTTTACTGCTTGTCGGCATTCTTCGTTATACCATTTTTCCTTTGAACATTTTATTTTCCATATGTGTTCCATTGCAATTTCTTTAACTGCTTTGCTAACTCTAACCCAGTCTTCATCCCTGTCATTAAGTTTTACATTTTTTACATACTCTCCTACATATTTAATGTATTTCTGTTGTACTTTCTCGTCCTTTAGCATCTCTAGGTTAATTTTTGTACTATTCTTATTCACTAAACTCTGGTCACTCTGGATCTTTAACCTAAACTTTGCTACCAGTAAGTATGCATGACCTAAATCTTTTTTGAACAAGTATATGATCTATCTGGTTGCAAGTTGTCCCGTCAGGTGATTTCCAAGTGGCCTTGTGTATAGTTTTGTGTGGAAAAGTTGTGCTGCATATTATCATATCTTTTGCGGCTGCGAAGGATATAAGTCTAAGTCCATTTCCATTACTTGTTTCGTGTAAACTTTCTTTCCCTATCATTGGTATAAAATGTGTTTCTTTTCCACACTTGGCATTCAGATCACATATTACGAGTTTGATTACATTTCCTGGCAGTTTATCATATATTTGCGACAGATCTTCATAGAAAACATCCTTCATGTTCTCTTCCCCTGTTTCTGTTGGTGCGTGTACGCATACTAATATTATATTCAGTGGTTTCGTATCTACTCGTAGTAAGGTTATCCTTTCTGATATTGGATTGAATTCTTTTATGTATGGTTCCAATGATTCATGCACAGCAAAAGCACATCCAAATGCGTGTCCTTCTTCCATGCCAGAGAAATACACTATGTACTCCCCTACTTTTAGCTGACCTTTTCCTGGCCATCTTATCTCTTGAAGGGCTATTATCTGTATTCCATACGTGTCTAACACATCAGTAAGATTTTGGCAGGCTCCAGTTCGATAAAGGCTTAGTGTGTTCCAGGTTGCGATCTTAATTCCAGTTTTCCGAATTCCGTGTCCAGTCTTAATTCCATTTATCTGTGTCCGAGGCTGATTCCGTGATGGTCTCATAACAAGCGTTTTTTACAAGGCAGGGTTGTTAGCACTGCGCCTAACCCCCAACCTGGAGGACCAGATCACAACAACCATTTCTGGTTGAAGTGATGGCTATTGTAATGCATCATTGATGAATTGGGCGATGGGGACGCCACTTTCCCAACGCCAGTTAATATGAATTTTTTTAGAAATAACGTTCTGTAAGTTTTATTTTAACAGTGTTGTAAGATACTAGAGTAAAAGTAACTGTACCTATCTGTACTTGAATACTTTTAAAACATATTTTTAACAAAACTATGTTTAAAACATTGTTAAGGATAACTTGTAGTATTAAATAGTATTTTCACCTATATTCGCTATTAGTAAGTATCATAGAAAAAAAATGAGTAAGTTTTGTAAAAGTTTGTCTTAAATATAATGTAATTGTCTAAACTGAAATTATTTTTCTAACAAATGTAATTTGTTTATAATAGGTATATATAACTATATTATATATAATATTATATGGTTTTTGTTACTTGTTTGTATTGAAATAATAACAATTATAGTATAAATAATAACATTTATATTAAAACTTGGTTGTATAAAGGGTGTAAGAAGAAGAACGAAGACCTGACAAAAAATAAATTGTTACTTAAACGTACGACAAAAAAAGAAAAAAGAAAAATACGCTTTCCCATGCAGTGGAAGCATCGCGTTCCTTAGTTTCAATTAGTTCTGAAAGAACAAAACTAAAAGCTAATTATTATAAACAAAAACTACTACTTTTGGAAAGACAAACTGTGGCCAAAGAAAAAAAGTTGATTAAATACGAATTAAAATAGGAGTAAGTACAACTATTAATAAATTAATACTTACTCTCATTTTATCGTGAGTTATTTAAAACGCGGTATGTTATATCTTTAAATGATTCACTTCTCGTTCGAGAGGAGTTTTTTTTTTATTATTTACATGACTTTTTAATGTTTTTTAAATGTTTTATATGTATCTTGCTATTATATTATTTTTATTTTTCACGCCACATTGAAGAAATTCTCTTTAAGATTATAGTATAATAACTCGGAATTTTCATCTAATGAGAGTTTCTTCATGTGAGCCATCTTGCGTTTTTAAATATCATTATATTTTTTGTTTTTATCATGTAATGGTATAGAATAACAATGAAATAATCGGCAGATAGGCGCCCCATGGTTCGTTTTATTAGATTACACTATAATACTATAATATTTTCTACAATAAATTGTATTCCTTAAAAAGGTTGGTATGTGGATGTCGCTCTGCTGTTATTTTGGCGTACGGAGATTCGAAAAGGAACTATGGTCAAAGTGCGTACGACCTTTATTTCGCCTGTAATCACTAATCAGGGTAGCAAAAAGTTAAAAACGCATTATGTGATTATCATATTTGTACAGTCATATATTTCCTTATGGTATATGTCCGTTTACCATTTTGAGTTATAATTATTTTGAACTTTTCTTGTCATATTTACAAATTTAACTTTTTACCATTAGATCCGTGCTGTTAGTGTGTTTGATTGCCATAGTGGTAGTTTCTAATTTTAAATAAAATTAATTAATAATTGTTGGTACCTATATAACAGCAATTTCCTTATTTTGTGGTAATTCAAAAACGAATAACTGTAGATACGAAATTACATAATAAAAAACCTAGAATAACTATTTTAGTTATTTTGTTGTGATTGTATAATATTATTCGTGGGTACTTGAAACTTCTAAAGTACACTATTATATATCTATGATAGTATCACGGTTTGTTGTTGATGTATAACTTGTTATAAGTAAATGATAATGTAATAAGTAAATATAATGGATATTGTGATATGATTAATTTGGTATTTATTATAGGTCAATTTTTTTTAATACCATAGATAAGTATATAATATGTCTTATACATAGAGCTAGGGGTACAATGAAAGTTTAAGCTCAAGCTTATTTGAACTCAATTTGGACACTGAGCTCTAGCTCAATCATAATTCACGTGTACAATTCACAATCGTAGAGAGTTCAGCTGAACTCAAGGTGTATAGATAATTATCTAGATTATCTATAATATCTATATTGTATCTGTTGGTAATGATATCATATTGTGATAACAATCTATGATAACTGATAGTTATTGCTGTCATGCTGACTTTCGCATGATAAATCAAAATAGACAATAGCGTCATTTTAATTTACATTTTACAAGAGTTAGATTTATTGAATAACTCGCTGTATAATTTTCTACTGTCACTTGTCAGCTCCGATCCATTAGGTATTCAATAGAATTTATTTTAAGGTGCTTATAACATGGATTTTTCTGAAGATAGTTCCAGTAGTTCAGATGATGAAGATTTATTTGATTTGGCATTAATTATTGCATTCCCACGACGTGCAAAAATTATCAGACCTCGCACAAATCATTTTGAGAAATGGTTAGACCAAGAATTTATAGATCGATTTCGTTCATCAAAAGCTACTACCCTCTTTGTTTTGGACCTGATTAAAGATCAAATTTATCATCCAACCACTAGGTAAATTCAGTTTTTGTGTGTGTTTGTCGAGTTACTTTTAACAAAATTATGACCAGTAGTATATTATGATATGTAGCCCATAGTACTTCAAGTACTTGCATAGTTGTAAATAGTTGCATAGTTCTTGAGACAAATGTAATTATGAATATTTTTAATTTTTATTATAGAAATCATGCTGTGTCTGCTCAAAATCAGTTACTAATTGCATTACGATATTATGCAACTGGATCTTTCTTGAGAGTTTCTGCGGATTTTACAGGAGTTGATAGATCTACTTGTGGTAGAATTGTGCGGCGTGTTTCTAAAGCCCTTGCAACTTTACGTTCACATTTCATAAAATTTCCAACAACAGCAGAGGAAGTGGAAACAGTTAAGCAAGGCTTTTATCGAATTGCAAAATTTCCAAGGTGTATAGGCGCTATTGACTGTACGCATATAAAAATTCGTTCTCCAGGGGGAGACAATGCAGAGTTATATCGAAATCGTAAACAATTTTTTTCTATAAATGTTCAAACTATCTGTGATTCCAATCTTCAAATCCAAAATATTGTTTGTCGTTGGCCCGGTAGTGCCCATGATGCCAATATATTCAAAAATTCTATAATTAGAAGTAAATTTGAACATGGTTTAATGGGCAACAATTTGCTTGTAGGAGATAGTGGCTACCCTCTTAAGAAATATCTCATGACTCCATTAAGTAACCCTCAATCTATTGCTGAAGAGCGTTATAACGAATCTCAAATTCGTACTCGTAATCCTATTGGGCGTTCTTATGGTGTGTGGAAAAGGCGTTTTCCTATTCTAGCCATAGGAATTAATGTAGATTTGGAGACTGCTAAAACTGTAATAGTTGCAACTGCAGTTTTGCACAACATAGCAAATACTTTACGCGATAAAACAAGTATAGTGAATCCTCAATTAGAAGAAGATATAGAACTTATAAATCATGTTCCTGTGGATAGAGTAAATAATACTCCAAATACTCCTCAGCAAATCATTCGCCGATCACTTGTTAATTATTTTGGTAATTTATAAATTTGGTATATTTCAACTTGAGATATGTTGCAATTTTATTAAACTAAAATTGATAATTATATTATATTCAGTGTTAGTGATATATTTGTTAATTTTATACTTATGTAAAATATTCCTTTTTTTTCAAATAATGGATAAAAACAATATAAAATATATTATTAAATATAATTATATATTAAATTACAATATTTAATATTTTAATTCTTAAATATCTAAAATGGTATTCCTAATTATTTTTGAAGTTTCTGTTTTTGTAACTCTAAAATTTCAATTTCTAATGCATGCTTTTGGGCACAAACAATCAATTCCTGCTTCAGTTTTTTTTCTTTAAGTTCATAAAGTATTTTTTCGCCATTCGCTTTAACATTTTGTAGTGCCACAGATTCTTCAGCTACATTTGTCTTATTATTTATCCATTTATCAATTTTATCTTGTAAATGTTTCCGTTTTCTAGTGAATGGTGATTCCGTTTCTAGATTCAAAATTGTATAAATTGATTTAGAAAATAAAAAAGTAATTTTAATGAATGACTTTGTATTGGTAAAATTGAAAATGGTTTGTAGACAAACCTTGTGTATTAGAAATACTTCCATCTACTTGTCTCAAACATTCTGTTGTTGGTTGTGTAAGACTTTCAGCACTCATATTTTTCCATTTTGATTGAAAATCTGAAACATTTTATAATTGGTTAACTATAAATAATATTTTATATTCATCTATATAACCTAAACTATGTCCAATTACAATTATATAAAAAAATATAGGTAGGTACATGATATGAAATTTGATTATATTAATATAATAATAAAAATAATAACACAATATTGCTCATAAAACTAAGAAAATATTAAAATGAATAATAATTGCTAATAATTAATATTGTTTACTGAAAATCATGTTTGAGCTATATATGTACAATGTACATAAATGAGCAACTTCATAGTAAGTATATATATATAAAATGTTATTAATCTTAATTTCATTAATAAGTGTAACATAATTAGGATATTTTTATTATTTATAAATATAAAATTTTTATTAATTAAGAAAATGAATAATAAAATTGAAGCAAAAGCTTGGATTAAGAAATATTTTAATATTTTACTGTAGTTTCAATTGAATAATTTGATGATTTCAAATTCAAGATTGATATTAGGTTTGTGGATCAGATTGTTTTTTAAAAATAATAAAAGTTTATAGGTATAACACATGACTTACTCTATCGAAATAAGTAACCCCTTTTCATGAATTTTATTTTAAATATTGTAGTACTAATGTGAAACTTTATTAATAAACCTTATAAATTTGAGTACTATCTTATACCCCCCTCCCATCTAATCTTAGCACATCAATTCATCATTAAACCATTATGTATTAACTTCTAAACAATTCTTAATTTTGATCTTATTTATTTTATTTCTTACCTGATGCATTTGGTTTTGCAAATGATTTATCTATTTCTGGTTTTTGAATTTCTTTTATTGGTGGAGTCAATAGGCTACTTGATGGTCTTTCATTATATTCCAGCATACCTGTAGTATCAGTCTCTAGAATAGGATTTATTAGCATTTAAAAACTTATAGCAATGGTGCACTTTCAGTTGAATTTAAAAAATTGATTTGATTAATTAAATTATAATTTTAAACTTACCTGTACCATTAATATTGTAATCATCTGCTTCCCAAATTATTTCAGGATATAAGTCTTCTGTAATTCAAATAAAATATTAATATATTAGCACATTGAATTTTTTGTTATTACTTATTAATAGACGGGATTTTTATGTGTTTACATGTTTTTACTGAGAGTTTGCAGCTACAATTGGATAAGATTTCTGAACGATTCATTTACCTATGAACTGATTTACATAATTTTTTAGTGCATACAAGAGAATATTTTTAGGTTAAAGAATATTTAAAAAAAATGTAATGGCTTATAAGAAAATGCAAACAATATTGGTAAGAACATACCATATTGATAAGAAAATCAATTATTCTCTAGAGATCTTATCTTATACTAACCATATTATGCCATATTTTTACTATGATTATTTTTTGAATTATTAAGGCTGAATTATTCAAGTTTTTTTTGTTTTATACATTATATATTATTATGTTATACAATAATATTCAATACGTTTTTGTTTTTATTATTTAAAACATTTTATTATTATTTTTTGAATTCATAAACCTGATTTTTAGGCATGTAAGAATGTAACCATGTGCTACAATCACACATATAAAATATAAATATAGGTACACCAGTATATCACCATAATATGACTGATTGAATATTTTTTTAAAGTTCATGATAAATTTAAGAATTTTATAATTTTTATAAACTGCTACTTTTATTTGTTTTTTCAATATTTAATACATTTTTATGAAAAAGAATATTTTAGCATGTAAATGTATTCAAGGCTAATAACCCCAGATGTTGAAGCCTCTTTTCTTTCAATAAAAAAAAAAAAAAAAATATTATTTTGATGAAATTATAGAGCATAGAAACATCTTAATTTTAAGATTTTAAGCACATATAAATCCGGTCTCTACTTATCAGATATTAAAGTTAAAAGTAAAAAGTTATAAATTTAACAGTAATGCGAATACATTACCATTGTCACAATCAAATTCAAATCTTGATCCAGATACTCGCTCTTTTCCTATAATTTCAATTACTCTCTTTTCCTCATCACTGAATTTTGTTGAAGGTGCAGTACCTCCACCAGTAGTAATTATTTCATGTTTTTCCTCAGCTGCCTTTTCCTTTGCCTTTTTCTTCACGTTTTCCCATTTCTTTCTAAGAACCTGGGCGGAACGATGTTCTCCATTGCTTGAGGCATTGAACTCCTCCTCGATCCTTTCCCAAGTTTTTAATTTCATTCTATGATATTAAATACATTTTTTTTTTGTATCATTTTAGATAAAATAGCCCCGAGTGCTTTATTACTCGCGTCTGTAGTTGATAAGAAGGTCTTTGTGAAATCCGGATATTTAAGAACTGGTTCTGAGCATAATGCTACCTTCAAGGTATCGAATGACTTTTGACATTCGTTACTCCATACGAAACTCGTGTCTTTCTTTAATAGATTGGTTAATGGCTTTGCTATTGTACTATATGAATTTATGAATTTTCTGTAATAGCCACTTAATCCTAAAAATGATTTAATGTTTTTTACAGTTGTTGGTATTGGAAATTCTACTACTGCTTTTAATTTACGTTCGTCGGGTTTTATTCAGTCTTTCGTAATAACGTGTTCTAGATATACACATTCTCTTTTTAAGAAGTTGCATTTATCTGGTTGTAATTTTAAGTTGCTTATTCGTAATCGCTCGAAAACTTCTATTAACTTTTCGTTATGATCATATAAATTTTTCCCATATACTATTATATAGTATAAGTATACTAAGCATTTTATTCCTATTAAACCTGCCAGAGCTGAATTCATAACTCTTTGGAAAGTTCCGGGACTTGTCTTCATTCCCTGTATCATTCGTTTGAAATGCCAGTGACCTTGGTTAGTCGGAAAGGCTGTTAACTCTCGTGAGTCCTTTTCCATCAAAATTTGGTAAAAACCACTCGATAAATCTAAAAGGGAGAATAACTGACTATTTCCTAGCTGATCTAGTACTTAGCCCCCAACAGAAATAGTAAGTATATATTATCATATGATACCAACTAATTGGTTATTCACTTATCATGGATGTGTTTTAATTTTGATTCCTTTGATTTTCTAGAATGCATAGTTTGTTTCAAACGGGGGCATACCTCCACACAGTGCGAGTACGCAAAGCGGCGGCGGCCATCTCTCTGGCCAAAAAGTTGAGAGAGGAGGCTGCCCTGGCTGCTCAGCAGCAGCAGCTACAGCAGCAGCAACCGCAGCAGTAAATTTATAATAAAAAAAATTTAAAATATAAAAAAAAATGTATTTGGTTGGTTTTCATTTCCTGATCATCATTATAGTTTATTAATTGGAGTTACTAATTTGTAGGTGTCTTGTAATTTAAAGATATGCGTACATATAATGATAACGATGTTCAAAATTTAAAATAGTACATAATTACATCGATATTATATGGTACCTTTAATATTTTTAATCTAATATTTGACATTTTTAGATAAATAATCAAACGATCAAATAATTTTAGCTCCATAATAGTAATATATGTACAATATAATGCATATCTAAAGTCCTAATGATGGTATAAATGTGTTATGTAACAACCACCAAATTATGAAAATATTAAGGTATTAAGATAGAGTAAACACCTGAGTTACTACACTAATGTGTTTAATATAACAAAATTCTAATCGTTGAATATTGCTAGTGCTAGCCATTTATTGTAATAACCTTTCCTGTCATTATATTATACATTTAACATTTATAGACACGAAGACTCCCGGGTTTTGGTGCCTTGCGGCTACAACCGCAGACCTCACATTAGCGCTGTGTGCTAGTCGAGAGCCGCGGAGGTTCACGGTCGACGTACGGTGGCCCAGTCCGCCGGCCGCGCGTCGTCTATGGACCACGAGCACCGGGACCGAGGTCCCGTACCAAGAAGACAGGCCAAGTGCCGCCTGAATTCGCCTGGTCTGTCTGTGTGCTATCTCCACACCGAGTGTTTCTGGTTACACCCAACCTCCGATGATACTACACCGGTATAGCGGCTAGACGCCCGAGAGGAACCGACAACGAACCGGAGACTCGCGCCCCCGGGTCGTGGCGGCCGTTCATCAGAGGTTTTCGCCTGTCAGCGAGAACTTAGAATAAGTATCTATTGACTTAACCACAAAGTATTCGTTAGAAAACCGCCACCATGATTCCTACCGGCAACGGACTCCAGGGGCGTGAACCATCACTGGGCGCCCGCGGTGAGCGGCGTCGTGGCCGACGGGGCCCCACTCACTCCCGTGGTACTGAAGCGTCTTCAGTCAGACTATCACCCCCTCGGGAGCTACCAGTTCTGTCCGGCAAGACGGGCATTGGTTTGCCTTAACCGCAGACGAACGTCCGCGAGGTGCGAAATTAATCTTGGCCACCACCCTTTCGAACCGTCATCAGCAAGGACCCACTCTTTGGGTCAGTCTGGCCGAACGTCCCGACCCGGATGCCTGCCGAGCCGAGGCGCCCTGCCCAAACTGACGACAGCCCTACCTTTCGGTCAAAGGTGGGACTATTTGCGACGACCACCCTCGCCTACCGACTTAGGGACTCTAAGCAGACGAGCCATCAGCCGCGAGCCCGTAACACTCACCGCTGTGTCCCGGAGACATGCCCGAACCCGGCTTACGCTGAGACGCCCGGCTGCTGGACGGAGCGAACTCCGGCGCCCGTGCTCTCAACTCGTATTAAGAGCACCACCGGCTGGGTCGGTGGCCCAACCGGCGACCGTGAACCGGCCCAGAGCACATACTGAAACTCACAGTAGGCGGCTGTGGTTTCGCTAGATCAGAATTTTATTTTATTTTTTTATTTTTTATTTTTATTTTTTTATTTTAATAGTGTTGTTTATTAAGTAAGAAAAAATGTTCAATATAAAAAAATTTTAACAAATAGTAAATAATATTGAAAAGCCTGAAGGAAGGGTTTGATTAAATCAGGATGGTAGAAGCAAAACGGGGTTGCGTGTTCTAGATAGAGTAACGTTTTCTCCATAATACTGTCGCAGCGTGTAGTAGAGGTGTACTCGTCTGTTGCGGAAGTTTGACTTAGTTACATATCTGTAGGAAGACCACAGATGTGTGTATGAGCGTGGAAGGTTTGGAAGACATGAGGCACGCCAAGCAGAGTAGGTGAAATCGGTTTCTGGATCGTTGCAGTTGTCTTTTATGTCGGCACCGTAAATACGGTTTATTCCGGCACGAACATGTTCGTTACCGAAGCGTGGGACCATGACGGTTGAAGTGTCTCTGAAAGAAACACCAATCGGCTGATCTTCATCGGCATTAGTTGTTCTTGAACATAATCTAAATCTGTTATTAGCATCAGAAGATGGATTGAATTTAGAAATGAACTCAATAGGGATGGAACCTTGGAGGTACATCGAGTTGTTTTCGGTTAAGCTAATCCATACGTTTGGTATGGGGATAGTTACCCCGTCAATGTCTCCGGATTCGATAATGAGTCCGAGAGTTAAAGCGAAGTTAATAGCACTTGGATTTTTGGAATAAGGCTGGAACCAAAGTACATCAGGATAGACGTGTCTTTGTTTGTCAAATTCTTCATAGTCAAAGGGAGGTTGTTCTGGATTGTAGGGATCCTTGTTGACTAGATAGAGTGCGGGTTCGATATCTTTAACTGGGGGAAGCAATTTTGATTGAAATATTGGTGCGGGTTGTAGATATTTAATGTATCGGGCATATGCTGCATCGTTTAGTTGCAGTAGTCAGTTGTGAAATTTTATTTGTACCTATCTAATGATCAGAGTTGGGTAAGTTACTTTTAAAAAGTATCAAGTTACTTTACTCGTTACTAAAGAGATAGAGATAAATGTAATTAGGTACTTTAATCGTTACTCAAATAAATTTTTTTTTAAATTTCTTGGAAATTATCTTCTGCAGGCAAATTGTACAAGCAAATTCTTTATAAAACCTATATAGTTAATAGGATCATATAAAATGTAGTCTTCCACACAAGCTATATTCATAGACAACCTATTTAAAAGAATCAAATAAATAATAAATTTAATTAACTGTTATCGTGATTTACGGTGCAATTATACATTTCAAATGTCAAATCCATTGAAAACTGAACTGTGCTGAGTAAAAATTAAATATATATATTATATGTTATTAGATTGGTAAACATAATAATACCGGCATTAAACATATATTTTTTTTCAATTCGCAATAGGTACCTAATAATTCGAAACTGTAACGCGTGATTCGATAGAAATTACTTTTAAAAAATAATTTATTCTGATTCTTGATTTATTCTGTGATATAATACTAAAAATTTAAATATTTTTAAATTAAGCGGCCAGTGATAATGTAATTTGTTGTTTATTCCAAACCAAACTGATATGATATTTTTCCTCCATGATATTTGTAGTGATATAAACCGTTTTTATTACGAGCATCTAGAGACACTGTCAGTTGCAGCTGCCCACGAGCAAATTCCTTATCGATTATAATGTGGCGAACCAGTGCCTTCGCCACATACTCCCTCCCCATGTTGGTCGCGCTCCCTGCGTTGGCAACACCGCTCGGCCCTCCGCGAAGTGTCGGGCGGCCGCCAACGGTCTCTCGCTTGGCAACCGTCAACCGACGCACACGACGCCGTTCCGAGTACCGCCGACATCTTTTTGCCACTGGCTTCATCGCACTTTGCAAAGTTCACGTTCGACTTTAACAATAAATATTTCATCTACTCAAAGTCGTCTCTTAGTACATTTATTTCGTACCTTGCGTATGTTGGCCGCGTAAGTTGTGTAACACCCATAGGCGCAAATAGGGGGGGCTTTAGGGGCTAAGCCCCCCAAACACTTCAATAGCCCCCCTAACATTTTCTGATTTTTTTTAAGCCTTTTTAGTATTCTTATAGTTTATGATGCAAAATTCGTGTTTGTATTTTTAAGATTATGTAATTCGTAAATGAACAAATTTTATTTGTCAAGGTATTATTATTAATTTTTATTATTATTGTAGACTTGTAGCCATAAACCATAATACCTACCAAGAACTAAGAATAATAAGCATTCTTATTACGGAGTCTATTGTTAAAGGGAGTCTAAAGTACGTTGTAACTTGTATTTGAGCAATATTTATAAATTATGAATTCTATTTGACAAATACTTTTTTTAAACTACTTTGTTTTTGTTTGTATATTTGTGTACAGCCGTACAGGATACTTTTGATATCAATTCTTCAAACTTAAAATGTG